AAAAAAAAATCAAAGGCCTGCTATTTAAGTTACGACAGGGACAATGTTACTTTATTTCCTGTTCTCTTAGAATTGTACAGATAGCTCTTTTTCCGATACAATAAAATCTTTACCATTTTAATATACTTTTAACGTTATTATTAATTTTTGGGGTGAAGTAAATACGCTTCTCAGACCTCCTGTTCGTCTGAGCCCACAAAATACAGGGGTTTTTCACCCCAAAGGAATTGACACTTCCAGCAAACGCATTGCAATCCGGATAGCCATTTGAGGTCATTTCAGCCATAGGATTTGGGCGCACTGGGGGGATGAAACGTCTCAGGAATTTATCCCTAGTCCTATGATTATTATGCTTATTGCTATTATAATTATTCCTAATGTTGTTATTTCTATTATTATTACCGGCATCCTTCCTGTTATTGTTAGTAGCGGTGTTTCGGTATTAGCAGTATTATTCGGTGTAACCCAGGTTCCGATTTCAGCCGCAGAGACGAGTCAGGCCGGTGCCCAAATGAGCACAAAGCTCTCCAGCAAAAGGCGATGCAGAGAGACGAGCGGGCAGGAGCGAGTGCAGGTCTCTAGCTGGGCTGCCGGCTCTTGCAGCCGTGCTGGTCGGAGGACACAGGCTCTTCGGGGAAATCCGGCAGCTTTTATTAGACCGACTCAATAGTTGGGACGAGAGCATCCCCCCCCTATTTCGTTGGCCTCATACAATATATCACATTCACCCAAAGAACTTTCTCTAGAGCTGGAGATATATGCACCTAGTCGTGTGTAGGGCTATATATTTAGTCCCTGGGTCCATTCTGTGTGTGGAGCCATATATTTAATACCTAGATCCAGTCGGTGTAGAGAAATATATATGTAATTCCTAGATCCATTCAGATCTGTAGTGCTTGGATCCATTCTCTGTGCAGAAACATTTTCTGTAGTCCCTAGATCCATTCTGTGTGCAGAGCCACATATTTCGTCCCTAGATCCGACGGATCAGCCCCGAGATCCAGGCTGCAGCATCGCCCCAGCCTTAGCCTTCAAACACACATGCATTTAGGAGACTGGACTTATTTGCTGCACTGAATAGGAGGACTCCAGTCCTAAATCACAGAGAAAATATCCAGTCGGAGGAAGGGAGGGGAGGGGAGCATAAAGCAAAAAAAAAAAAAAAAGAAAGAAAGAAAGAAAAAGGCAAAATAACCAATTTCCACTAAAAAAAGCAGCAAGTGCAACAAAATCCTCGTGGCTGAGATTTCCCCCCTTGCACTTGCACGTCCAGCAGCATTTCAGGTGGGGTGTCCTATCTCCCCCCTTCCAAAAAATACAAATAAAACCCCACGAGGCTGGGAATCACAAGAGTGATAGCAATGTCTTGATTTTTTATTTCTATTTTTTTTGCTCCCCCTCCCCCCTCCACACACGGAGAGAGACACACGCACGCACAAAAGCCTCTTTTAAAGGTCTTGCCTTTTGACTCAGGCAAACGTGTGTTGGCCTATTCTCTGCAAAATTTATGTGAGAAAGACAAATCTGGCTGATAGTGGCAGAGTTAGAAAAGAGAGAAAGGGCCAAAAACCGGGGTTGGGTTGTGGATATTTTTTTTTTTTTAAGGGGGGAGGTGGAGGGGGGGAGGGGGGTAGTTTCTCCGAGGCGAAATAAATCTTTCTCCTCTTTGAAAATGGATGGGGTTGTAATTTTTAGCGTAAAGCATGAAACCCAGGGACAAATGAGTCCTCTTCTCTGAAGTGACAAGCGACAATGGAGCATGGACTGCCTCCCGCGGCTTGCAATGCTGAAACAAGCATACCCCTCCGTAGCAAAAAGGACCCAAACGCTTGGAGACCATATGGTTTTTGAATTTTCTTCACAATTTCCAGACAATTTGATGGATTAGGTTAACCCTCCCTTCCACTGTTTAACTCCACAATAATGGGAGCAGCGCTGCTCCCCCTTCACTGGGGCATCTGTGCCCTTCCATGTGGCTCCTATTCTTTCTCCTCTTCTCTCTTGGCATTTGGAACAAGTCTATGAATGACAATGAAACGCACTCTGCTTTTTGGGAGACTCCTTTCTGTCTTCCACCCACCCCCTTTTATTGCATTTTTGGAAGAAGGGGTTGTCGTTTTTTAATTTTTTTTTTTTTTTTGAATTTTGGTTAGATTCTTTTTTTGCAAGGTTTGACGCTGTCCACGTCTCCCCCCGAGCTCTCAATCTTGTCCTTAAGTGTTTTTATGCTAAGCAGGCACGTCGTAAATGCTGAGAAACTGTGACATTTATGTGAAGATCTAGTTAAAGGCTTTTATTTGTTTTCTTTCTCTGTTCTGCCCCCTCCGCCTCCCCCGCCGCCCCTTCTGCTTTGATTCTTTTGTCTTGCACTGGATTTAATGAACTGCAAACACGAGGATTCAGTAGCGGCAGGGCGGCGGGACAGGGGTGGCTGGAGTGTGCGTGTGCGTGTGCGTGTGCGTGTGCGGGGGGGGGGGTTGCTTCTCCGCTCGTGACTGCGGCGGGAGGCAGGCCGGCGCTGCAGCGCGCGAGTCCCGCACGTGGCTGTGGTAAATAAGGGCGCGGATTTGCACCCTCCCGGCGCAGCAAAGCCTCCCGCGACCCCGCGGGTGGGAGCCCGCCGCCGCCCTGGCTGTCCCTGGCGGAGCCCGGCGGCGGGGAGGCGATCCCTGAGCCCGGCTTTTGCACGGGCGTGTTCTGGACCCACTGGGCCGTGGCTCCCTGCGTCGCTTTCTTGCCCCGGGGGCGCAGCCGGGCCCGGGCCGAG